AATTTTGATCTAAAATATAATTAAATTAAAATTATAATAAAAAGTTAATAATAAAATAAATAATTAAGAATTTATAAGTATTGGGATTTAATTGAATTAATGTTGGACATTATAAGTATGTGTATGAGAGAGGAGATAGAAAAAAAATAACAAAAAAAGTATAAGATTTGAGAGTATGATAGTCTTTTCACATCTATAGTTAACGGTACTAACTGTTGCACTTTGGTCCAAAATTACATGGGGACTTTCTGACTATATTTGAACAACAGAGGGGTCAAGTGCTTTTGTCTCAAACCACAAGGGAGTAAAATAAATTTTACCCTCTTTTTTTGGTATATTATATATGTAAAAAATTAAATTGATCCCCAACCACATATTTGAATTACATTTAACTTTAAAAAATAAATGACCTGTTTGTTAAATTATATTTTTTGTTTATTTTACAAAAACAAATATGATATAAATATGTGGTTATATTTTTTTGCATATAAAATCTACTCACAATGCACTAAAAATTGATCTGTTCATAGTAATAAACGTATCCCAAAATGGGCCTTAATGGGTCAAATTGAACTCTCCAATTCAAATAATGGATTAGACAGTTATACTTGTAATAGAAGGTGTACACACTCATATAGATGTACAGGAACAAATTGATAGTGTAAAAAATTTATGTGTTTAAATTTGACAATTAGATAAAAAGGTTAATTTGGGAATAGAAGAAACATTACCAAGAATTTTATTTGCTTTGTATCATATAATATATACTAGAAGTAAAATATAGCGGAGAGTTGTTTATTATGGAGTGGAATAGAATTCAAATTGCAACACCTATTAAGTAATCATAATAAATTTGTCATATGCATGCTAAGATAAATATAATATATGTCGAGGAGACAAAAGTAGCTCATTTTGAAAGAAATAATGGAAAGGCAATTTGAATTTCCAAGGTGGAGACAATATAATTATCAATTTGTCTCCTTCGCGTGCACATATTTTCAATTGTAGACATGGTTTTCGTCATAAACTTAGCTTAGCACCAATGAATGAAATAGAAATCCCTTTCGTTTTTTAGTTATAGTCCGCATTTAAAATAATACTATATGTACTAACTAATATGTACACTAATGTACTAATAGATGATGTGATATCATTTGTGAAGTTTTGAGTATTTATAACTTGTATAATAAGTGGGGTCAGTAACAATGACATAACACTAGTTGGTACTCTAATATGTATATTAATTGGTGCATGTAACACCACCGGAGCATTTATAATGTAAATTAATATAACTTTTTTTTTGATCAACCGTAAATATAACCTAAATATGTTTCCTCACTATCACTCCTCTTTCCATTTCCAAATGTGTGTTTTTCCCCCTGGAATTACTTTTCTTCGTATCATTATTTTTTATAATTCATTTTGTGGGTCTTATATTGGGGTCACAATGATGATTTAAATTATTAATCTCATAAATTTCACAAGGCCCGTTTATGACAAATTGAGACCTAAAGCAACAAGTTAAAATAAGGTCTTTTATAATTTTTTAATGTTATTATAAAAATATTATTTAAAAGTGATTTTTCTAAGATTTTGATATACATAATTATCAATTAAATCTTCATATTAAGATTTGTTAATATATTTTTTTGAATAACAATGTTAGAGGGCCACAATTTTTGCGGCCACAATGGCTCAAAACTGCCAAAATGACGTCGTTTTGACATGTTTTGCACCCAAAACGACGTCGTTTTGGCAAAAATGTTTGAGGGCCACAATTTTTGTGGCCACAATGGCTCAAAACTGCCAAAACGACGCCATTTTGGCATGTTTTGCACCCAAAACGACGTCGTTTTGACAGTTTTGAGCCTTGTGGCCACAAAAATTGTGGTCCTCAAACATTTTCCTATTAATAGTACAGTTAATCTTTTTTTATGTCATTTTGTTAACAATACATGCATTTGGAAATGACCAAACATATATTTTTTTTACATAGTTTAGTACTTCAATTAATTCTAAAAATTCTTCAAAAATTGTATTGCCTTGTTATCAAATTTCCGACCAATTTATAAAAAAATGTCACATCAAAGAATAAGAAACGTTTGTAAAATTTATAGATTTATTTCCATTAGTAAAAGAAATTAATAAAAAAAAATATTTATTTATATAATATTACTCATTTGAAATAACAATTATAGGCCTTCTTTCTTAATGGGTGGAACCCTTTTAAATTAAAGAATGGTAAAATAATATAGGCCTTTACTATAATTTTTGAAAATTTGGGTCCTTAGTAACATTTTAAGGCCTAAAGCATTTGCTTTGATAGCTTAACGCTGTGTTTGGTTGGGGGATTTGAGGAGGGATTTGGAAAGGGAAAGGGAAAAGTTAGGTGAAATGTGAATAAAATATACTTACATTTCACCTAGTTTCACACACCTTTTTCATTTTTCTTTCTAATTCCCTCTCCAAATCCTCCAACCAAACACAGTATAAGACTTAAGTCGGGCCAGATTCACTGTAAAAACTATATATATAAAAAATGAATTTCATCATATTTCGATGAGCAGATGAACAAATTATATTTTATTTTATATAAAAAAAACTTATCCATACATAAAATTCATACAAAAAATATTTCAGGAATGATACAACAGTGCCTTGTCGTAAATATACCCGCCCAAAAAAGCCTTGCTGTAAATATAAGTCATATTTATTGGTGGTTTGTTTTAAAGTGAAATATATCATTAAGTCACATCATTATATATGAAAATTTTATTTGTATATACCGTCAGTCTATTATAAAATGGATAATTGAAAGTTAAACTCATAGTTGTCGTTCATTTAAAAAATATAATATAATTTGTTCATATGTTTATGATATTGAATGAAATTGATTTTTTGCACAACTCATCTTTATTGCTGAGCTTACAATAGGAATGATTTAGATTATCGTTATAGGTCTGATTGGAATCCATAAAATATAGTATTGAGATGTACGAATAATAACAATTCTAAAAATAAAAATAAGAATGTGTGAATAATGAAGTCATTTCCCAATTTATCACAACATTACATTTTTTCTCACCATCTCTAGTTAAGCTTTCATTTTCATTTATTAGCACTAGGATTAATAAATTGACATATTTGTTAAACATTTTCGGATTTAGGGTCAAAAAATGGAAATTCAAAGGAGAAGAAAGAGAGAATAAGATAATATAAGATAAAATAAAATAAAATAAAGAAGGTAGAAATAGAATGATAAAAGTCTTAAGTCCTAAAAAAAAAAAAAAGTCTTAGTCCTAAAGCATGGGAAGAAAGTAGAGTAAGGATAAGAAAGGGAATCCCAAGAAGGAGAGAATCAAATGAAAGCAACAATCTCATAAAAAGCAATCACCACACTCCACACTTTTTTCCACATCAAAATAAAAATAAAATCCCATCATTACATAAAAGTGATTAGAGAAACTTTGGCGCCGATTTCTTAGCGCGATCCAAGGCGAGTCTCCTCCATATGACAAAACCTCCGCCATTCGTGGCCCCATTGTTCCCAACTAAATTAATCAATCTTCAAACAATCTAACCGTTATTTTTGCGGTTTCCGTTATGGCCGGGCATAATTGTAACACAATCCAATCAATTATCCAAACTTTTTTGAATCACAAAATATGTGACACTATTATAAAAATATTTGATTTATCATAAAAATATATAATTTTATTTTTAAATCATAAATATCGTAATATTATTAAAAAAAAAATTATGTAATACTTGACACAAAATTGCGGAACTGCTTCCATCTATTATATTATGTTAAAATATATTCTTTTCGCTGATGTTATATTAAGGATTAAAAATAAATCAGTCAAATTAGGATTGAGATCATCACCATTATATCACCCAACAGTTGTAAAAAAAAATCACCTTAATGAGCGTAATGACTTTTTCTTAATTTGAAAAATAATAAATTCATATGTCTATTTTATTTATAGTCATTAGATATATAATTTGTAATCAAGAGAATTTAGATCTCAAAAACTGCTATGTTCACCTATGATCTTTGAAAAATTCGATTGCACATGTTGTATATATATAAAATTTTACAATTACAAAAAGTGGCATTGTTGTATTTATATATGAATAAAATTGTGATGATCAAATTTGGTGTATTGGATTATATTTTTTAAGCATTGTATAAATAAATGGATGATATGTAAAGTGTCATGTCAGGTGGTTAGTATTAATACACAAATTTAATCATTCTAACGTTACTCTTTTATAATTAAAAACTATCATGATGGATTTCTTTTTTCTTTCTTAAAAAGTGAAATACTTTGGATTGTACTTGAATGAGAAAGGATTTGGGAACAAATAAAAAAGATTTTTTTTTTTTTTTTTTTTTGTCTTTAGTAACTTTTTTTTTTTTTAAAATTATGTCAATTTTTTTTACTTTTTCAGTCCATCTTGTGTAGACAAATCTAAAAAGTAAAATAATTTTGAAAAATTCCAAAAGAGAATTACTCACTATGGAAATTAATGCTATATATGCTTAATTTTTTTTTTAATCTAAAATGATTTTGTATCACTACTAATATGACAACATATTATTCTACTTGATTTTCATTCTAAATAATGTTTTCTAAATAAAGAATAAATCACAAACATTAAAGCAGCTGGCTACATTTCCATAAAATAAAAGCAAATATATATAAAGTATCATTATAATTATTATTTATAAAAATTAAAAAATATATATTTGCCATCTTTTTTCTTTTTTTGCATGGACTGCCTTTTTAGGACCCTTACACATGTTCATAACATGTATAATATTTAAAATTTAAAAAAAAAAAAAAATAGTGTGTAAACAAAGATAAACCCATTACTTAATGAAAACAACTTTAGATAGGAATAAACAAAAAAAGTTACTTGGATGAAAAGCCTAATATTGCGTTGGGGTGATTGGGGTTTCCAAAGCCTCTCTATATAAAGGCCATGTCATTGTTGAATCAAAGTCATCACTCGTAAAACTAGTCCTACAAGGCATATATTATATACTTGTACTTGTAAGTTGTAGCTAGCTTTGCTTAGCTACATAGTTTTTAAGTGTATAATGGCATTGAGAAAGGGACTTTCACTCTGGTTCGGGTTTTTCTCTTTTGCATTGATCTTGTTTTGGGGCACTAGTGTCCAAGGCCAAGGGAGCCCTAATTACAGAGAAGCCCTTGCAAAGTCCATTTTGTTCTTCCAAGGGCAGAGATCAGGGAGGCTCCCTAGAGGCCAAGAAATCACTTGGAGGTCTAATTCCGGGATTTCTGATGGCTTTTTAGCTCATGTATGTCTATTTCCCCCCTTTGTTTTGGACTTTATCTTTATTATTACTATTATTGTTGTTGTAGTCGTCACCACCACCACCACCATTATCGCCACCGCCGCCTATAGACTACACAACCCTTTCAATAACCATTTCCTTTAGGGCTGTTTTAAAGTCCTCCACCAAAAAAAAAAAAAAAAAGCAAGGTCTAATCTAAAATAGGCTTACTAGTTTGGCATAGCCTAAAAAGGACAAATATCTTGAGGTTGTCCTTGCTAATTTTTTCTTTTTGATCGGCTAAAATTAGTTTTTAGTTGTTAGATTAGCACATATAAGAATTAACATCCTCATCCTTGCAAAACAAGTGTATCTCCTAATTCATTGAGACTAAATTTTTAAGAGAATCATGGTTGCCTACTAGTTTAAGCCTCATTTGTTGTTGTCCTGGCTAGTTTGCCTCTCATAACTTTTAGTATTTCATTACAAGAAAATGGCTAGGTTGTCCTTCAATATTTTATGATTTTCAAAATTTCATTTTCTATATCAATGATATTCTCACACTTGTGGAGAATAAAATGGTAAAACCATATTATGACGATGACAACTAAAGGACCTAAAGAAGTCATTAAGTGGTATTTGGGTATTTTCACATAAAATAAAATAAAAAGTCAATGCTAAATGTAAAGTAAAATTATGTCATTTTAGCTAAACTGTTAAAAAAAAATACCAAAAAAAGACAACCATATCAACAAAAACACTTGTGCCGCATCTTCAAACTAAGGGTTGAAATGTTTTTTTATCCCCAATTTTCCTTTTATTCTCTTTAACCAAACAAATTTCATTTCGAATATTGGTTATGTTCACCTAAAGAGAGAGAGAGAGAAAAAAAAATATGAAGCTAGCACCCTTAAAAGTATATTGATTTTGCCTTATCTATGTAGGTTGATTTAAGTGGAGGATACTATGACGCTGGAGATAATGTAAAATTCAACTTTCCTATGGCGTTTACCACCACTATGTTGTCATGGGGCACACTTGAGTATGGCAAGAAGATGGGCTCAGAGTTGGGCAATGCAAGAGCCGCTATCCGGTGGGCTACGGATTACCTTTTAAAGTGTGCCACAGCCACGCCAGGCAAGCTATACGTAGGCGTTGGTGACCCAAATGTGGATCACAAGTGTTGGGAAAGGCCAGAGGACATGGACACAGTCCGGTCTGTTTACTCGGTCTCACCAAGCAATCCGGGCTCAGACGTTGCTGGGGAGACAGCTGCTGCACTGGCTGCTGCCTCCATGGTTTTTCGGAAGGTTGATCCGAAATACTCAAGATTGCTATTGAGGACTGCCCAAAATGTGATGGAATTTGCAATGCAATATAGAGGTGCCTATAGTGACTCACTTGGCTCTGCAGTTTGCCCATTTTATTGCTCATATTCTGGATATAAGGTATGCTATGCAATCTTGTTTTTGTCTTTTATTTTTGGTCAAGTGCTAAAAGAAAGACTCAATTTTTGTTCATAAATCTTAGCCCAAACCCATTAACTCAAATGTGGACCTTTGGACTACTTGCTTAGCCGTTAGCATTAGCCCAAGCTATAATAAATTTAAGAATATTTTCTTACATTATGGCATATATTAAAAAAAAAAATACTAACAAGTGCCTTGGGAGGCAATATTTGTATTGAGATTGAGGTAAATATAAAAAGTTATATAGTGTTTTGATTTCAATGAAAGGTATATTCATTTAGTATAAAATATTTCATGTATTTTTTAGGATGAATTGTTGTGGGGAGCTACATGGCTTTTGAGAGCGACAAATGACATTTCTTATTTGAATTTCATAAATTCTTTGGGAGCCAATGATGCAACAGACACTTTTAGTTGGGACAATAAATATGCCGGTGCTCGCGTGCTCCTCTCAAGGGTAAATACTATCATAACAAAATCTCTCTACTAATCTTAACAAGTGATTTTTTTATTTTTTATTTTTTTTTATATATAGTGTTGCTTTAATTAAACATTTTATTTTTTTTATTTTTACTTTTTTTTTTTGTAGAAAACCTTGGTGGACAATGACAAGGCTTTTGAACCATTCAGGCAACAAGCTGAAGATTTCATTTGTCGTATTTTACCAAATTCTCCTTCTACAAGTACACAATATACACAAGGTACATATTGTCACAATTAATGCCCCCTCTGTTCTCTATTCAAATATTAGTATATACAAATAAAAAAATTCTTACAAAATTTATGTATAGAATCATGTGGCTCAACAAAAATCTTTCACTGTAAAATAAAATAATTATAAAATGGCTTTTATTTGTGTGTATGATATATGATAATAATTTTTCTATTATCATAGATCTCATCTCTCCAAGCAATAATTTATGAAATATTATTAATTAACTTTATTATTATTGTTTTTCTTCTTTGGATTGATTGATTAAAATGAATGCATGTTGATGGAAGCAGGAGGGCTGATGTACAAGCTAAGTGAAAGCAATCTGCAATATGTAACATCCATAAGCTTCTTGCTTACAACATATGGGAAATACATGGCAGCCTCACGGCACACCTTTAATTGTGGTAACCTATTTGTCACCTCTAGAACCCTACGAAGCCTTGCAAAGCAACAGGCAAGTCCCCCTCCAACTTGGTGATTTTTGTATATATACATATGTGTGTGTGTGTTGTGTGTGCCACGCTAAGAGGTTAACCGTTTGATAACTTCTCCTATCAAATATATGTGTGGAGAAGTGATGTTATTGAGTAACCACTTAAACTAGTTGGTCGTAATTGTTACATCTCACCTCACTATATATTCATGAGTTCAAATACCCTTTTCCCAAAGTTGTAACCTCTCAACGTACCTTAAAAATTAAAATAATAATAAGTCAACGGATACAGAATAAATCACATGAAATAATTATAATCATACATATCAAATAGTCGGGCTTATTATAAAAGTTGCTATTTCACTCAGATTTCTCAACCTATGTTTTATGTGGTTGATTTTAGAGTCAATCGTGTGTCATAAACTTATTGAAATAAAAATTAAAAAAATGTTAGTCTTAGTGGCTTGAACCCTAAATTTGGTGAGCAGGCTTCAAACTCTCCAACCATAAACTCATCCTCTGCTCTCCTCATTTTCATTCATTCATTTTTATTTTATTTTTTTGTTTTGCGGGTGTGCGTGGTTATTATTGATCCTTGGACTAACCTTATATTGAAAATTCAGGTGGACTACATTTTAGGGGTGAACCCTTTGAAAATGTCATACATGGTGGGATTTGGGGCAAATTATCCGAAGAGAATTCACCACAGAGGATCCTCAGTGCCCTCATTGGCAGCCCACCCCCAGTCATTTGGTTGCGATGGTGGTTTTCAACCCTTTTTCTACACTGCAAACCCTAACCCTAATCTCTTAACCGGAGCCATCGTTGGAGGTCCAAACCAAAATGATGGCTACTCAGATGATCGGACAGACTATAGTCATTCAGAGCCAGCAACATACATCAATGCTGCTATAGTTGGACCATTGGCATCCTTAGCAGGAAGCAACACCATTTAAAATGGGAAGCTCACATTTTAGCTACTAATTGTGAATATTTCTCTATGTTTGTTTATGTTTATCCCCCCAGAATGGGTGTATAACGACACCAAAAAGGAGGTGGATTGTTTGATGTTCAAATTCTATGCGACTTGATTTAGTTCCCAAAAAAAAGAAAAGAAAAAGGAAAGAGTTCTGTGTGGCTTCATGGATCTAGCCCACCATTAAATTTCTCATTTGACATGACTACTAAAAATATCAACCACTTTTGTTTAATTTCTTAAATATGTTAAAAACATTTCCAACTTCAATTTCATTTCTGCCCGTGTTTGTTTAACATCAAAACAGTAACAAAATTAATTATGAGTAACTCGTTATTAAAAACAGTTTGATCTATCTTTTTATTTAAAAATAACTTGAGAAAGGCATTGGATCAAGACGCGAGGTAGTTTATAAAGAATTTGGTATTTAAACGTGCCAAACATTCATGAATAGTGGCACTAGGAAATCTGGACAAATTTGTAGTTTTTAAGAGAGTCTCATTTCCAGTATCTGAAAAATGCTTCCTGAATTTGCCTTTCTATTACCAAGTCTGAAAATTATTTAAAACCCTTTTAACTCATAAAGAAATGCTCCATATGACACACATGTCCAAGTTTCATTCTATACTTATGTCCCACACATTTGACAGGACCTTAAATTAAGACAAAGTTTGGCAACTCAAAAATAATTCATCTTTTTATTTTTTTTTTCATCACATCGCCTCTCTACTTTTCTGCACATCTTTTCATAAAAAGACAAAAAATACACTTATTTAGGTCATCCCAAACAATCTCTAATTGTTGTTGGGCCTATTGGCTTAACAACAAGACAAGGAGAAGAAAAAATTAGGACCTCTAATTGTTGTTGGGCCTATTGGCTTAACAACAAGACAAGGAGAAGAAAAAATTAGGACCGGTACTATGAAGTAGACATATTTACCACTAAATTTTATTTTAATTTTTTAAGATAAATTTATCATTATAAAAATATTTTTAAAAATACAATTCAACTATGTATATATTTCATATCATATTTTAATATAAATTAATATAAACAAATAAAAATTTATAGACAAAAGTTAAAACGCTTCTATTATTTATCACTTCGATAAACTTTTTAATGTCATTATCAGTGCTAAATGATTATTCCATAAACACAAATTATATATTTAAAAAGTTTCAAAAAAATTTATTATCAAAGTAAGAGACAAATATGTAAAAAAAAAAAATCACTTAGAGCTTATGAATAAGACCTCTTTTGGGAAGAAGTTATTTTAGTCAAAAAATAATTAAAAAATCAGTTGAAAAAAAGTTTAAAAATTTAAAAACTAGGATATTTGATATGCATTTTAAAAAAAGTGGTGGCCTTAGCACCACATCTATTATTTTGGACCTCCTATTTTTTTAGACCCTCACTTGCAAAATTTTGAAACTCTTAAAATTTCTTTTCTCCCCCCAAATAATATCAAAATTATCATTGTAAAAATATTTCACTAATTCAATTGAATGAATAACCCCCACACCCCAAAACACCTCTCTTCCAAAAACTCTAACAAAACCCATGAAGAAGAAGAAGAAGAAGAAGAAGAAGAAGAGCCAAGTGTGATTACTGTCTCTGCTTTCTCTTCCTCTCTCTCTGTTGCCTCATCTTTTTCTTCGGTGATCAATATTCGGTTACCGGTTTCCAAACAAATAATAAATGTTCGATTACCGGTTCCCAAACAAATAAACAATGTTCAGGCCTGTGTTCCCAAATTTCGATCATATGTTCGGGAGTTTAGTTCCAAAAAAATGACAAACAGATTTTATTATTTTTGTCTTTTTTTTTTAAAGAAACTTATCCTTACAAGGCCAATTTCCTCTGAGTTAAGAACATCATCAAAGTTATGAAATTCCTTTGAACTTTTTTTGAACTTTTATTGTTGTACTCCTCTCGTCTCATGAAGCTGTGATTGCTGAAAAAATTTCAACTCATTATCATTGCCGGATAAGTGTGGATAATCAAATGGTTATTACCGTTATCGTCGGAATATTACAGCCAAAGGGTTTTTAAGGTTTTGAGGGTGACAAGTTTTGAAGGTGACAAGTTTTGAAGGTGAGATTTGGGCCCCATTTGTTTTGGGGTATAAAGAGAGGGATGGGATTAGGATAGAGGTGAGACCCATTTAATGTTGTGTTTGTTTGTAGATTTGAGGAAGGGATTGAGATAGACGAGGGGATTAGGTTGGGCCTTAGAAAGGGGATTGGGATGGAGGAGGTAGAGGTGGTATTAGATTAATAGTTTGTTGGACTATTTTTTTTTTAATTTTTAATTTTTTTTTTACATGTTGGGCATTTTTTTTGAACATTAATGTTTAATGTTTTTGTATTTGTTTTATACAAAAACAATTTAGCAATCCCTATATCAACAACTATCATCAAAATAAATATAATTTTACTTAATCTTCTCACTATCAATCCCCTTACTATTAATTCCTTCATTATGAATCTCTTCCATTCTACCTCTGAAAACAAATGTGGCCTTGGGAAAGATGGATGTGTGGTGATAATGTTTAATGTTTTTGTATTTTTGTATTTGTTTTATATTTATTTTATATAAAAACAATTTAGCAATCCCTATATCAACAACTATCATCAAAACAAATACAATTTTACTTAATCTCCTCACTATCAATCCCCTTACTATTAATTCCTTCATTATGAATCTCTTCCATTTTACCTCTGAAAACAAATGTGGCCTTGGGAAAGATGGATGGGTGGTGATAGAGGTGAATGCTCTCATAAATCCTAATTCATGATGTAGTGGTATATGGGTTTAATTGTGAGATGGGGTGCCCTAAAATTAATAATGTCCTTTTTAATAGTTTTATTTGAGGTTATTGTTGAAATAAATAAAAAAAGGCCAAAATTTAAGAAATTCAAAATAATTCATAAGGTGCTAATTGCAAGAGTCTTAAAAAATTGACTCCTATCAATGTAAAAAGCCAAATATACCTTCACATTAAATTTTTTCATAAAAGGCAAATATACCTTCACATTAAATTTTTTCATACAACTAAAACAAGAAACAAAAAATTAAAATATAAAATTAGCCTTTTACATTTTTCAATACAACTAAAAGTCAAATATATATATATATATATATATTCCTAAACACATTAAATTTTTTTCAGGTAATAAAAAAGACAAAAAAAAAAAAAATTAAAAAAATTCTCACGACTAGGCCCAAATAGGTATGATGATCTTATTGTTAATTATTTTTGAAAAAAGTAAATTACATGATACTTTCTGAGGTTTGCGTTTACTACAAATTCTCCTCTTACGTTTTGAAAATTATATTTTTCATATTAAGATTTATATTAACATTACAAATTAATCATTCCATTAATTAACCGTTAGATTAGTTAACAGCTTTGCTGATGCCATCTATTGATTTTTTAAAATGTGTTTGGTTTGAGTTTTTTAGATTAAGATTTTTAAAAGCTGTGTCTTTTGATTTTCGTATTTTTTTGTTTTTAGTGAATATTTTTAAAATTTTAAACATTTTTTTTATTTTTTAGATGCACCTTGCTTAGATGTATCTAAAAAGTAAAAATATTTTAAAAAATTAATAAATACATAAAAATACAAAAATGTACTGAATTCTTGTATTTTTTTTAATATTTTTGGTATTTAGTGAATTTTTAAAAAGTTTTTTCACAAATTTTTACTTTTTAAGTATATTTATGTTAGGTATGTCTAAAAAGTAAAAAAAAAATTTGCTTAAAATATTAAAAAAATTCAGTAAAAACAAAAAAACACGAAAAATAAGAAAACAGAATTTTCTGAAAAGTATTTTTGAAAAAATGGAACCAAGCAAATATACGCAACCTTTAGCCAAAGCGTATATTCTCCCTTAATCTAGCTATTTTGCTTATCGAACTCGGCCTCCCTATGGTTCGTATAGAATTTAATCTAGTTTCCAGAACATATTTCGGAAATGAGATAGCTTTTCTAGATTTTTAGTTATTTAAGAAACACTCCAGCGCTGTCCAGATTCGTCGACCGTTATGAAAATTGGAGTTTTTCACAAATCGCTCACTCGTTTTCAATGAAACAAATTTTACTTGAAATATAACTTCTTAAGGAAGATTTTGACATAAAATGGAGGTCCAAAATAATTTTCTACATTTTTATAGAAATTTTGAAAGTTGTCTATGAAAACAGATTCTTAAGGCACAATACCCAAAACAAGAAGATTTGTCAGAAAGGGATCCACTAAGAGAAATTTTTCATTTATTTTATGATGAAAACATGCTAAATAATATATATTAAACTCAGAAAATTAGCTTGAAGGTGTGCCTTTGGAAAGTTTGAGAGATTGGTATGAACAAGATAGTTTTGTACCGAAATGAGGGGAACTACAAGAGAGGTAGAATCATGGCTCAAATCTTATCATTTTTAACACAAGAAAATCATTAATAACACATCTGAAAAAAATGGATAGATCCCTTAAGAACATGTATTTGAAAAAGGAAAATAAAAGAGAGAGTTGTGTTGTGGCTTACTTGCTAGGCTTGAACAAGATTGCTCTCCTCTTCCTTCCTTCCTCTCCCTCTCAACACTTCTCTCTTGCTCTCCTTTCTCTCCTCTAGGCCAAATGTATGTGAGTGTGTGTTGTTTGTGTATGCCATGCTAGGGGGGTGGTTGTATTTATAGGCAATTTTGGTGTAAAAAGACATAAAGGCCCACTAGTTGGAATTGGATTGAAAAGTTTGAATTTACTTGGAGTCTAATAGAATAGGGAGTGATTAGGGAACTTAATCATGTGATTAGACAATATTTAGTTGGCCTCTAGTTGGAATGAAACTAGTGTTGGGAACACAACCCTAGATTTAAGGGTACTAGGTACTAGAGCTTCTAGAATATCATAATTACAAGTCTTGAAAATTGGTCCCTCACATTCTCCTAGGTTGGCCGGCCATGGGGAAGGGAAATGGGAAATTTTTTATTCGATATATAGGTACTAGGGACACATTTCCCAACGTATATATATATAGATCTCAAATTG